AAAATTTAAAAATTAATTTTTTAAAATACAAAAATAACAAAAACCAAAAAAAACAACCAAAAAACAACAAAAACAAAGAATAAAAAAAAAGTACAAAAAATAACTAAAATAAAACCACTACCTTATACAACAAAATTATGCACCTCAAATATATAATAAACAAAATATGATACCTCACATTCACTCCAAAAAACGTCAATAATCAATAGACATATCATAAGACTGAGTATGATACCAATTAAAATTAAATAATTTAATACGAAATAAATTAATAATAAGAAAACAAACTCCAACAAAAACATGAGAACCATGTAAACCGGTACCAACATAAAAAACATTACCATAAATACTATCATTCATAACAAAACAGTTATTATTATATTCATAAAATTGAAAACACAAAAAAAATGAACCAATAAAAATACAAATTAACAAAAAAACTTCACAATTAAATTTATTTAAACATAAATAACGACGAGAATACTTCAACAATTGACTATTTATCATCAAAAACAAACTAGCCATACCATTAATACCAATATAATCAGGTGATAAAATACCCAAAGGAGACCAAACACCACCCAATCAAGTTAAAGAACACAAAGAAGAGTCCAAATAAGTCCAAAAAATAGAAAAAAATAAAGCTAATTCACTAAACAAAAACAAACGAAATCCCTGATTAAATATACGATAATCATAAAAAGAATATTGACCACTTACATCTTCTAATATAACATCTTTTAACCACAAAAAAGATACATAAATAATATATAACAAACAAATAAAAATAGAAAAAAAACAACCCATACTTATAAACAAAGCTAAACTAACATCAATACCTAGAATACCAATACCAAACATTAAAGGATAATAACTATATTCTATCTTATGAAACTTACGAAACTTTAAAAAAATTATATTTTACAAACCAACAATACCTAAAATTGTCATACTTAATATACTAAAAATATACCTAAACAACTTAAAACTAAAAAAATTAGTTAAACAAATAAAAAATAAACAACAAAAATAAAATAAAGTACAAAAAAGATTAAAATAATTAAAAGGATAATCTGTAGGATAATGACCAGCTCAAGTTAACCAAAAAAAAATTCAAACAAAACACATAACAAAAAAATATAAAATATTATCCAAAATAGTAAAATATCTATTAGGTCATACAAGAGCTACCAGCACAAACACAGAACTAAATATTAAAATAACACCAAATAACTTATTGGGACAGAACGTAAAATAGTAAAAGCAAACAAAAAATATCATTCAGGAACAACATGGGCAGGACTAGCTATAGAATCAGACTCCACAAAAATCATAGGATCACTCAAATTAAAAGAAAAATACAAACTAAACAAAAATAAAAAAAAATAAAAAATAATATCAAAAGAATCCTTTAATCAAAATCTAGGAAAAAAGTGAATTTTATCATAATCACCATGACAATATAAACTAGAACTGATCCAGTAAAATGCAAAAAAAATAAATGAACGATAATTAAAATTATCAAAGATCAAGGTAAAATAAAATGAATAGAATAAAAAAACTTCAAAGTATTTTCACAAACACTAAAACTACCCCAAATTCATCAAACCAAATATTTACCCAAATAAGGAATAGACGTTATCAAACTAGTAATAACTACAGCAGCTCAATACCTTATTTGGCCTCAAATTAAAACATAACCAGTAAAAGCAATACCCATCAATAAAAAATAAATACAAACACCACTTAATCAAACACCAACAAGACGATAACTTCCATAAATCAAACCCTTAAAAAATATGTATATAAATAAACAAAAAAAACATAGAAGCACCATTGGAGTGCATAATACGAATAAGCCAACCAAAATTAACCTCAAATATAATATACTGAACAGTGCTAAAAAGCATCACCAGCAGT